TGCAGATAGTGTAAATACCGTACTATTAAGTAGATTTCGATTGTTGGCGAAAGTCTCATCGTGAATGCATCGCAGCGGGAAACCATAACGCGTACGTGTGTTTACATAACTTATTTAAAAAGCGTAGAGTTATTATTATTTTTTTAACGCTAAAAATGGCTCGAAGAATTAAACCGAAAAGTCCGATGGATTTAATTATGTTGAATCAAAATGTGTTTTACACACTATTTGCGCTTCAACTACCGCGCGCCGCACACTCACTCTCTAAACCTTTCTGGTTTTAAATTTTATTTATTTAAATAGATTTTAAATTTTTTAAAGATTTTTAAAAAATTTCATTTTCAACTTCTAATTTTTGAAAATTTTTATTTTTTTTTTAATATCTAGAGAAACGTTCTTTCTTCAATAAAAGATGTGTAACGTCTGAAAAAGATAAAAGATAAGTAACTCATGAAAGATTGTTTTTTTTATGAAAAAAATATATATTTGGCACGAGATTAGTTATTGCGTCTGTCAATATATACCCATACATTCGAGGGTAAACTAGAAATGTGTGATTTTGCGATATACCGTTAGTATCGCAATTATGCAATTGGATCTTTAATCGCGAAATTACATGCGATTTAAAATCAGCTCAAAATCATACTTGTAATGAAGTATTTATTTATTAAATATATACTTATAAAAAATATCATAAATAATTTTTATATAGATGTGTAAACATATATGTTTATTGCTTCTTTTTTTAAAGTAACTTTCAAAAATTATATTACACAATATATTTTTTATAATTGTTTTCGCATAAAATTTAAAATTACGATATAAAATAACGTACATTTACGATATGAAATAACGTACGACTCAAAATTGTGTTTACAAGATCACGCACAATTCAATATATATATACATATATATATATATGTATACACTGCTCAAAAAAATTATGACATAGGAAAATTGTGGGCAAAAATTGGCCAACTTTGTGACTAACGATAACTTTGCGAAAAACTATCGTAGGATAACGTTTTTGGAAATCCTTAAAATCTACATAAATAACTTTAGTATAAAAAGGCCAAATAACGTCCTTAGGGCGTATTTTAGATCAACATCAGCGACACAAACAAGACTTTTCTAAATATATTTCGGATTCATCCAAAAACATCAAATAGTTGCTTGGACTAAATTTCCCGTACTCCGTGAGAGCATTCTCACCCGCACCAATATATCCACAATGTAAGTTATTTTTAATTTATAAATTATATCAATTTATATACACAATTCGTACACTACGTCAAATTATACTCAATTTGAATTATTCTTAATCATTCCTATAAGTTGCCACAGCTCCTGCAAAAAAAATATGTCGTTAATTTAACTAAAACAATGGAGTTTTAACTTCTTTACAATTTAATTTAAGGAATATGTTAAATTTTATTCAATTTAGTTTACTATTTACTAAGTAGGTACATACTTAATGACTAAATATTCTTATATCAAATTACCTTATTTTTATAATTTTTTTAAATTACCATTTTACCAGCCTACATAAATTACTGACTAATTTATAGTAAATTACTTACTGAGTAAATTATCGTAAAATTTGGTCATTTTCATCTCTAATCGTGATGCATACATGTATTTTTACATTTGTAAATCATGTACATCTCTAGATATCAACTATCAAGAGGTTTGTTTTTGAATTTATGTCTTATACAAAAATCTATAATATATGTAACGTATACTGTAGTATTTCCATATGCGAAATTTTTCATGTATATATATATATATATATAATATATATATGTATATATACATATAGGTATATATTATAGGGTAAACTTGGCCATCTTTTTCTGTATGGCGGAAAAGATATATTAATATAACACTATTAAAGATAACGAAAATTAAAGTATATTTTTTTCCATTTTAAAGATGGCTATCTTACTCAAGTTTACCCTACATATACGTATATACACACATACACATATTTTATATACATATATATTCTAACAAGAAGAACGTTTCTCTGAAAATAAACAAAAATTGTTCTTTTTAAACAAATTATGTAAACACGCCATGGTTTCTGTCCGTCTTAATGATACTCTCTATTCATTTCTATTCACTTTTTGGCGAAACGCGGGAAGTGGATTCAAGTGTCTCAGGATAAATTTTATCTGAGTTTCTCACTTGAATCGCAAACGTCACGAATGTTGATTCAAGATACATCTGTTGAATTATTTCGAGACCAGTTTCGAAGGAATCTCTCAGCAGAAACGAAATTATAATATAAACATGGGCATTATTCTCTTTCGTTTTGAAGACGATTTGCCTTACCGTTCAGGATGCGTGACTTGTGACTTAACGCGCAGGACATAATACAACCTGTATCTCCTAGCGGAGAAAATGCAAGAAGGCACGTTCGAACGAATGCGTTTTTTGAAGCGACGAAAGTTATTGTTTTATATCAATTTCCAGAGCGATTTAGCGATTTGTGCCGATGATTGGCGGCGCACAGAAAAAAAACTAACTTAACTAAACGCGTTAACTTGACTAAACGCGTTTAGTTCGTAGTGATTTTTTGGTTCAAGTATTTATGTATTTAAAAGTTAAATTTAAAGATTAAATTTAAAGTTAAATATACGTGAGTCATGTCAAAATTTTGTAATTTAAAACACATTATTTGTTTGAATTAACAAATATTTGCTTCACATCCTCTGACCGCCGTATTTAATTGAATCAATTAATGTTTTTTTTAAAATCAACAACTTTTTCTTAGTGTATCTTTTCGCGCTGCAAGATTAAAAGAAAAAGAGGAAAACTTTCCAAACAGGACAACAGGTTACGTAAAAAATGACATTAAAATGAATAGTGACTAATCGCGCGAAAAGTGACTTTTAATAATCAAACAATAAGAATCTTATTTTAGATCGTAACATGTGAGAACATCAATTAATATTAGAAATTAAAATGTCTATACCCCGGTGGAAGTTAGATCTTTTAATGCTTAAATAATTCTCTCAATGTGAATTATATATATACTATATATATACGAGTATATAGGTATTATATATACTTGCATATATATTTTTCCATATTTGTTTTTTAAACTACGCACCGAATTGGTTTTTCGGACTTATAAACGCAATTAAACTGCTGGAATAATATCACGAATTAAATTAAATTGACAAGCAATTCTTAATAATTTTGATGCAGAATCAGGCATCATATTAACAAGATGTCAATGTGCCGAAAAACTGTAAATAAATATTCCAGTAGTTTAATTGCGTTTATAAATCCGAAAAACCAATTCGGCGCATAGTTTGAACGACTACAAATATAGTACATGTATATGCAAGTACATATACAGGGTATCCCGTAAATTTTTGTCAATCGCTTTTGTGTAGATAGAGCGGACTAAATTGAGTCGAAAAGTCCTCCATCATTTTGCAATTTTCGCAATGGTTAACGAGATATTAATTATTAAAAATCGCTAAATATTGGTTTTCAATAATTTTTTACTCAAATACTATCGACTTTACATCAGAAAAACAGCGAGAGACAAAAATTGTTTCCGGGGAGCTCAAATTGGACAGGCCTGTTATAATCAACCGACGGATGAAGCTGTTCGCGGAACTAAAGCTCAGTATACATTTAGCAAACGAACACCGAACGAACAGCAAACGCGAACATTCGGATTCATGTTTGTATTTGTGTAAACAGTTTATTCCTTTTCTTGATTGCACCGAATACTAGCGTTCGATTAGATTCGGTGTTCATTACGTTCATTACGTATAGCAATTAAACTTGTGCGACATTTATACAACAAATAACAAGCTTTCGGTCTTCGTTCGACGTTCATTCGTAGGTGTGTATACCCGATGTGTACTTAATACAATTCCAAACAACACAAAGTCTAAAATTATGTCATGAGAAGTCTTTAAATCGTCTTTTAGACGCAAAAAACGTCTTATAGCCTGATTTTAGACACTTTTTGTTGTCTAGGATCTCATTGTCCCTGATTGAATCTCTCTGTTTCCCGTCGAACAACGAACGATTCTGTCCGCGTTAACGCACATTGCTCGACAAGTTAGTCGATGATTAAAGTAATCGGAGTCCGATCGAGGCCCGGATGATTTATTTAGCTCCCGCAGTGATTTAGATTTATTTCTACGAATGTAGATTAGCTTTAATTATGGTTTATTTTTTATCTTTTTTTAATCTTTAAAATTAGAAGAAGATGAGAACTCTCTAAATTTCTTGAAGTGAATCTCGCTCAAAAGAATTAAACTACTGCCATTATTGAAAAAGAGTGAAAACATTTGCTCTCTTGAATTTTCACTCCTTTGAAGTAAGATTTCTTTCCAAAAGAGGAGGGAGATTTCTTTCCTTTGAAGTGAATCGCATACCAAAAGAGTGAAAATCTCACTCCAGAAAAAAAAGAGTGAAAATCTATCACTCTTATTCAAGAGTGCAAATATTTTCACTCTTTTCATACTGGCAGTATTTCCATTCTTTTGAAGTGAGATTTTCACTCCAAAAAATTTAAAGAAAAATGTAAGGTTAAATTGAGATTAAAGCTAATAAACATATATTGATAGAACTAAACAACAATATAAGTTAATCATAGCGTTCATAATTTAAAGCGAAGCTTCAAAGATCTTCGAAAGCTACGGAGGACCCGAAAATAGAAATATCTCCGATTCGTTTTTATGAGTTAACTTTAATCTCAACTTAATTTACTCTTTAACTTTATCTCTAACTCTTAGAGAAGTTTGGAAGAAGATAAACAATAAGTTAAACCGAGATTAAAGTTAATCTACATTATTAGGATTATCGGACATTAGCTTAATGATTCTCAACCGAGGATAATTCCAGGGATGCGAATCTCGAGCCGAGAATCAATTCGTCCGTGGCGAACCACTTCCGCCTCGAGCGCGATCTCTCTCTCTCTCTCTCTCCTCTTTTTCGTTCGTCTGTCTCTCTTTTCGCCGTTACCTTACCTTATTCTGCAGCTCATCGATGAGCACGTAGACGAGCAGCGTGATCTCCTCTTCGTCGGAGCCGAGCGCGTTTCCTTGGAGGCCGGCGGTCGCCACGTATAGGGTGACCAGGATATTTTGCGAATTACTTCCTCCTCCTCCCCCAGTTCCTCCCATCCTCGTTCCCGTCATCGTTCCCGTAGGAGCGCACCTGGCAGCTCCAAAATGGATTCCTGCTCCGAGTCTGATTTCTCTCTCTTCCTCCCTCTTCCGCTGTCGCTGCTCTTTGACACACTCGCGCGACGTCCCGACGCCGGAGCGTCCCTATCACTGATCGCTCACTGATTATTCGCCACGCACGACATACTCTTCCCCTCTCTCTCTCTCTCTCTCTCTCTCACGGCGATTTGAGGTTATGGATCTGACGGCGGTCCGACCGACGGCGGCACACCTGGAGTAACCGAAAAGAATAAAAAAAAAAGAAGCAAACCGGAGCTCACGCGCGGAGCAGAATCGATCTCGACAGCGGCAGTGGACGCTACTTCGGTGCTCCCCGTCTCTCTTTTTCTCGCTCTTTCCCCTCGGTCGCTCGCGGACGGAACGCCGTCGAAAGTTGCAAGGTTCTGTGCAGCACTGACCGTACGTTCCCCCGACCGAGCGTAACGAGGCGAACACGTCGTCGTAGTTGCCTCACCTGGCGACTGCGCGTCGACGCGGCCCCTCTCTCTCGTTGGCTGGAGCGCCTGGCTCGCTCAGGTGTCTTACAGCTTACAGTGAGAGAAGAGGGGAAGAGAGAGAGAGAGAGAGAGAGAGAGAGAGAGACAGAGAGAGAGAGAGAAGGAAATGTTTAGATATTGCACGCCGTACGGAAGGTGTTCTTGTCGAGCAAACAGCAAAAACGAATTAATATCACGCGGAATTTCAACCGACGTTAATGACGAGTTACGTCGGTGTGCGAGAAGACATCGAGTATTCAGACATTAAGAGAAAAAAAAGAGTGAGAGAGAGAGAGAGAGAGAGAGAAGGGAGGAGAAAAAGCGATAAACACTTGTACGCCATGAAACAATCTCTCTTTTCCTCTCGCTCCTTCGCATAAAGCAAATAATGAAACAAATATCTAGCGAAATTTCGAGATCTGTGTGGGTTAATAACGAGTTGGACAGGTGTACGCCGATGTCGAGCCGTGTACGGGAATCAAACGAGAAGAGCAGGGAAAACGGAGAAAGAGGGGAACCTGTTGCGCACCGCGAAAGAATATTCACTGATACAAGAACAGTGAAAATTAACACATCAATGTTCAGCAGAATTTTTTTGCGCTAAAGTAACGCGCCGAATTAGAACGGGTGCACAAGTGAAGATAATGATTCAGAAATTGGATTTACCGAGAATAAGGAAGAAATACGAACAGAGAGAGAGAGAGAGAGAGAGAGAGAGAGAGAGAGAGAGAGAGAGAAGTACCCGTATCGCCATGTTAACCTGACTTTGAGCACCGTTTGTTGCTAGTAGATTATTTACTCCTTCCAACTAGCGCGAACTTCCGAAATACTACTCTATAGCTGTCGCTCGAAAAAGTATTGCTGTATTTGGAATCGGGCCTCCTGAAGAAAGCAGATAAGGGGGAGAAAGGGGGCAATGTCGAGTATCTGCATGCTCGGCTGTTGAACGAAAGAGGAGGATGGAGGATATAGAAAGAGAGAGAGTGAGAGGGGGGGGGGGGAGGGGGGGGGAAGAAGAGAGTGACAGGGAAACCGAGCGCAAAAAAGAGATGGCGAAGCAGAGAAGAAATGGAAGATATCTAATGAAAGTTTGTCTCTCTTTTAGCTGCACTTCTGGCGTATGTACAGTTCATCTTTTCTCTTTTTCTCTCCAATATGAAAAGAGGAAAGATGCAAAAAATTCAACTAAAGGACAAATCTACGTTCGAGAATGAGAAGAAAAACATGGAAATTACTCGGGATGGGAAAGCGCGGCAAAGTGAGAAAGATTTTTACTCGCGAATTTTCATCGATTGTCGCTTCGCTCTCCCATCGAGGACAAAACGTAGCCGCCGCGCTGAGGAAAATCGACGACGCGCGGCGAAGGAAAGGAAAGGCAGAAAATCTCGAAGTGGTCGCGCCACCAGGCCCACCAGGGCCACCAGGTGCGCAGACGCTCCACTCGCCGAGTGTCACCTCGCTCTCTTCGACCACATCCACCCGAAGCGTTTCACCTAATCACCTCACCTCACCTCGCCTCGCCGCGCTACGTTATCGCTCATGGCGGATCCATGTGGCGAGCACGTGGAACAAGATGGGCTGTTTTCTTACTCGCGCGACAGTCTCCCGCACCTTTGTCCGCAGCATCAATACTCGTCAAGAGAGTACTTCGATACTCCGGGATTCCGTGCGTGACGTTAAGTGACCAGTGTACTGGTCAAAAGAGCACGCGTAAGTCGTCGAGAGAAAATGGCGCGAGTGCGTGCGCGCGCGATTATTCAGGTTATTCTAATTAGTGATCGCAGGAACGTATAGCGATGTATCGGCGTCCTGGACTTACAACAGTGGCAAATTGAAAAACGTAAGCAGTAAGCAAATCGACACGAATAATATAATATAACGCTCGTTTGTTTGCAAAGCAAAATAACAATAATTCAAAACGACCGAGAGACATCTTATTTGCTTGTCTTTTGATCGTTTTGAATTATTGTTATTTTGCTTTGCAAATCAACACGTTTTTTTATTTTCAACTATTTACACGTAAACAATGAGTGTACTCATTTTTTTTATTGTCTTTACTGCTTAGTTGTGACTACAGTCGATTTACTTATTAACGCTCACATTTTTCTGTGTCCACTGATTTTACATTTGCATGAGTAGGCTGCGCATTCGTGTGCATCAGATGACGACGTATGTACAACGTAGTGACGCTCTTTCCCCGATATAGCGCTCTATAGGAAATGTAAGAATAAAAGTGAGAGAGAGAGAGAGAGAGAGAGAGAGAGAGAGAGAGAGTATTAGGTAATATTTTTAAAACTTTATAAAATATTACAAAATATTTAAAAAATTTATAAAATATTACATAAAAATCTTGATAAAATTCATATAAAATAAATACTTCAAAATATTGATTTAATATTTCTTGTTTATAAGTATAGTCACACACAACACAGCCATTTCATATTTCCTCGACACTCGACAGAACTTGGTATCATTTCGTAATAAGCCCTGCGATTATGCGGCCACGATGAAATATTTATTTATGCGGCTTCCTGCCGCGTAATACAAAGTGTCCCGGAGAGAAGACCCCCGACCTCAATTTCAATGGTGAATACCACCATTAACGTTGCAAAATGTGGTGGAATCGTTGTCAGAAATTCCGAGTTTTCGATCGTGAGCCCGCTTTCTTTAGCGGTCGAATCATAGCCACGCACTCAGAAGAAAACACGAGGAAGCTAATTTGTTATTAAGCATCGCTGCAATTATGAGTGAAAGTACGGAAAATAGCCGAGGAAAGCGGCACAGGGTATCGCAGCATCGGCCGCGCCAACGCTGTGGATTAATAGTGAACTTGGCCACTCGCACTACACTAGATTAGTACACAGAAAAAAATTCTTATTTTGAGATTTTATCTTTCTTTTCAAAATATATAAATCGTGAAATATAAGATTATTATATAGTGTTAAATCAACATAGCTTACTTATATGAAGAAATTTTATATACATAGTTAAATCAAGAAAAATGTATTTTCATTATTCAATAATAATTTTCATGTACATTTTGCAATTTTCGCAGTTAGTTAACGAGAAATTAATTACTAAAAATTGCCGAATAAGCCCGGCCTACCGCCAAATCTAAACGCGTAGCAAGAAATGGCCACCCAGCTAGCAGCTACCCAGTCATGGTTGCTAAGCGCGCGAGTTGTTTACTACAAGCAGCAATGGCTACGCACCAGCGCGAGCGGCGCGTGATGCTAAATGATAGATCACCGCTCTGAGTTATGCATGATTGTCCTCCGTCTTTATTAGCTAAACGAAATCTTCTACTCTCTAAATCTGAATCAGTAGATATTCACTGATTATTTAGTGGCATATTTGGCACTGGATAATCAGTGAAATTCAATTAAAAAAAGAAGAATGTTCGAGCATTATATAACTAAAATACTGATATTTGCATGTTAATTTCAATCTTCCATATTTATTGAATTTATGCACTAAAACAAGGTTGGTTAGATCACATAATAAAAATCAGCTAGGTTAGGGATCTCACATTTCATTCACTGATTACCAGTGGCATTTTTGGCACTGATATCAGTGAATATCCACTGATTCAAATTTAGAGGGTATATACTGTGCAGTTAGAAAGAACAGACCTCTAGTCTCCTCCATATTGGTAAACTTCTGTCTTGCCACCGATCCATACAGCCCTGACGCTGATAGCTTCTCTGTTGTGCCTATTTCCTCTAAATTTCTTATATATATAATTGATTCTTGCCTATAGTTCTTTGCTGAATCTAATAAGTGTAGAAACCAATCATATCAAAGAATCACTAAGCGCTAACTGATTAGTTTGCTCTGTTGAACGCATTTAACAACCCTGATAGATTAGAGGACACCCTATATATTCTGTTAAATATAACATGATAATATCATTATTAGTTATTTAATTATTTAAAATATATTTAGAATAAAGATCCAACTTAGACCGTTACAGACCGTTATTTCCTATTTCCTATTGATTGTGTTTTAATTCACATGTACGGTCCAATAAGATTCTTATTGTTTAAAATATTTAACAAGTTAAAGAAGGGGATCCTAAAGCGAAGCTCGAACTTCGACAAAATCACTAGATGTCGCTGTTTTTCCAGCGCATCGACATATCTGTATATACTACCACACCAATATCTCACGCAACCTATGATACATTCAGTCGCACATTCGTGTCAATTTTCGTATAACAAATTCGTCGCGATAAAGCGTCTAAGTCTAATTCTAAGAACTCGACGTTATTTGTTTGTGCAAACTACGTGTTTGTGGATCACTATTTCGTAAGTATAGGTTGCAAAACTTTCGTATCAAGCAAATGTTGTCACGACTTGACAGCTTGAGACGCCATGTTACACTAAGAAATGGTAAAAAATATATCAATTTCGAAATTTTTTGTCGTTCTCGGCATAAACTCCATCTCACAAACACGTATTAATGCTTATATACTTTAATCCTGGAAAAGGATTTTCGAATCTGTAAAAGAGAAAAAGTATTTGTTATACAAAAATTATATGATTTAGTCGATAATACAGGCGGCTTTAGGATCTCCTTAAGAGAATGCTGGAGTGACCAAATTATCACATTACAGTCGTGTAGAAATCTTCGAATTGACTGAACGGAATAAAAAATCCTTTTACAGGATTAAAGTAAACGCAAAATTAGAAGGTGGTACAGTGGATTTTATACTAAAATCGAAAGAATGTTAAAAAATTGTTTAACTTTTATTAGCTTATTTAAAAAATTATTCATTTTGCATACATATTTTTTTAAAGCAACTATGTGTTTTCTTTCCACTAATTGATTCATCTCATTATTCTGTTCATAAAAGTATTAAGGTACGGTTATCAAAAAATTAATAGTTTACGAATTATTTAATATTTTATGTCAATATGTGCCACAATGAAATATAAAATATCTCGTAAACTATTGGTTTTTTGATATCGCTACCTTAATACTTTTATATGCAGAATAATTAGAGGAATCATATTATGTAAAAAAATTCATATAATTCCATTTAAAAAAATGACCTTGACTTTCAAATAACCTTAAAAATCGACCTGAAGGTCAAAATCATTAACACAGATAAATGACCCCCATAATTGGCCTGAACAAGTTTTGTCTGAATTATTTTTCTGTATTTGCCTTACCGACGGAGAAATTTGGGTGGGTCCCGTAAAATGGCCCACCGCGTATAAATCTGCATAAAGCCGTTCATCTTTTCCTCGCCAATCGTTCCGTTTTTTTAAATTTTTCGGCGCCTGTTGGATCATTTGCCTGCTCGGCCACAATTATTGATCGTCGGCTCTTTGCGTTGACAACGATCGTTACCGTCTTCAACGAACAATGATCGAAAGACGTAGTGCTTCGTCGGAAATACCAGAACGTCCGATTTCGCCTAGTCATAACGCCACAACACTCGTTGTTTCCTGCGTTTCTCAATCTTTTTCGCAAGGCGCTTAAAGCGATAATGTCATGATGTGATTGCAATAAATTTGCACTTTTTATACATATCGACACGCATAGTCGACGATGACCCAGTCAGATTGTAGATACGTATTCATGCATATTTAAGCGCGCTTGCATAAATATATCCGTACCGGTCTTGCGTCGCAACGATCGCCGGTTTGTATTCGTGCATGTATGCGTGTGCGGTCAAGTTTGATTAAAATGATTGTGCAAGAATATAATAGATATTAAATTACGAAACGGATCATTCTTTGAGACACTTACTCCCGATTCATTCCTTATCTAGATTCGCAAGCACAAATCCAAACGGAACGTTGAGGTAACACGTAAAGCGATTGCGCACGCGTCACATTTTATATAGAAGAGAGAGAGAGAGAGTGACACGCCACGATCAACAGGTTGGTATGACGTTTCTCTTTATTACCACTATTATTAGAAAAAGACAGGCTTTTTCACTTGTTAAAGAGCAAGAGGGAGATAAAAGAGCTTATTAATGTACCTATTATAAGACAATTAATATTCTAGGACAAGGGCTGCGTTCAACAGAAAAAGCAGCTTTGCAAGTGTTGTAAAATTCTTTAATGTGATTGATCTTACCCTTGGTTCCTCACTGGATCTAAATATATAAACCAATCATATTCATGAATTTTACAACAGTGCTGCAAAGCTTGCAAAGCTGCTTTTCTGCGGAACGCGGCCAAGCCTTCTAACAATAAGAAGAAAAAAATGACAAATAAAATAGAAAAGAAAACAGGAAAATAGTAACAGGGTAACAATAATAATAATACAAAATAAAACAAAAATACGGAAATAATAAACAAGAAACGGAGCGCTCGTATATATTCAACAATAAAATAGTAAGAAAAGGTCTATAAACGAGCAAACAAAATGTATATATAATAATCACCTTTAACATTATAATATAAAGGAATGGGCTTGTTTTGGCTTACTTCATCCATTGGCTTACGCCATCTTCATCCATTATAAGGAATTAATCCATAAAAACGCAAATCTCAAATAATTTACATGATATTAAACATAAAATTTTAATAAATGCAAAAAAAAATAAAAAGAAGTCACTACTGAGATTTGAACCGGCGATCTAGAGTTTTAAGAGTGTCCGACCAGTTTCATAGCTTAATATCTCTTAAACTATTTTGCCATTTGTTCAGACACTCAATAGTCTCTCGCATAGATGTTGGCTTCACTTCGGTGTACGGACCAGCATAGGCAATTCCTCTTTCAGTATATGTTCTAAGATGAGTCCGTGATTCATTATTGACATGTAGACATGGGCTGAATCGAATGTTAAAATACAGAATACCTAGGTCGCAAAATCAAGAAATCAATTGCGTACGGATACTACCCGATATTAAACTATTATCATTATGAGAAAGAAGTTAAGTACAGTCGTCAATTTTGAGAAAGTTAAAGTTTAAAAAATGAGCTTATATGTATATCTATTATAATTATAAGATTCTCTCATGAACATTCGTCATATTTACGCTTCGAGATGTGAAAATGCAAAACGAAATGTGACCGACAGTATATATGTACATGAAAAATAATTTAACATAACGAACTGGCGAAGATGTATGTTTATGTGACCTTTTCTTAATTCCTCAATAATATTAAAATAGGATTCATCCTCAAGTTCACAGCTCCGTATCTTTTTTTAAATTAAGTCCGTTTGCTTGTATAATATTTACACAATATTTGCTTTGTATAAATATTTGTATAATATTTGTATAATATTTTTTTATAATATTTGCTTGTATAATATTTCCGATTAATCTTTGTAATATTTCGGTTCAAAATCCAAAATTTTAATGTTGTCCCAATCTATAGTTAAATTTCAAAATGTGCTCAAAGATGACAGAATGTGTTTGGACGAGTCCATTTTTATGCTCGTTTAATCACGTTCTTAATTTTCTCTTTGTTTGCCCCATGTAGAAAGCATTATAGTCACCGCAATACAATTTATGTATGTAACGTTGTTATTGTTTGTCGATAAGATATCCATACACTTTTCATTGCAAATATATATTAAAAACGTATCTATGTTGCATTTATATTGCATTTCATTTCATATCAAATGTAATGTATTAAATATGTAATTAAATGGATGTGAAATATCCGAGTTGAAATACGTATACGTATGTAATATGTAGCAGGTATGTATATTGTGCATATCCAAATTGAAATACGTATGTAATATGTAATATGTAGCAGGTATATTGTGCATATTTAAACGTATGGATATATATCAAACATGTAATTGATACATATTTAACAGAATGTAACAATACGTCATAAGATGGCGTAGTAGCACTACATAATATTTAAAAAATCATAAACGGACAGTTTTGATCAAGTTTCTGTGCGCGGTTATTATCTGAATTTATATAAGAATAAACAAATTTAACAATATTAAAGTATCATATTAGATCCCGATGTGAATACACAACAGTCAAGAAATAAAAGCTTATTTCGGTCAAGCTTGGATTTTTAGTGCTGATCGAAACAATTCCGTGTGAAACAAATTTAAGTTAAATAGTAAAAAATAATTTAAATTAAATAGTAAATCAAAGGTAAGTTTGTATTTTATAACATATTTGAATATCTATACAGTTGAATGTAATTGCTATACAATTATGCATATCTGATTTTTTTTATAGGTTATATAACGTACCTAGTACATTTTGAACGCGTATTTGCATTATTAGGGATACGTATCAGATACATACATAATTTATATATCGAATATACATATCAAACATGACGGATGTTCATGAGAGAATCAGATATTTAGACATACTATAAGCCCATTTTCTTAACTTTAATTTTCTCAAAATTAACGACTGTAATTAACTTCTTTCTCATAATGATATAGTTTAATATTGGGTATCCATATGCAATTACTGTCTTGACTTTACGATCTACTCTGTATTTTAAAATATTTGACTCAGCCCATATTTAACATGTAAAACATGGCTACGAATTATGAATTCACATTCAGGCCGTTGTAACAAATTTAAAGAGAAAATTATTGTTTGGAAAATTGCAATGTCATGTGATTTTTGTTTAGTATCATTTAATGTTATTTGAGATTTGCATTTTTATGAATTAATTCTTTATGATGACTGAAAATGGCTAATAAAAGTAAGCCGAAATGTCCCATCTCTTTATTATAATATTAAAGATTATTATTAAATATACATCTTATTTGCTCATTTATAAGCCTTTCCTTGCCTTTCTATTATGTAAAAAGAAAAACAATAAGAATAAATTATATGAACAAAAGAGATTGAGAGAGAAAGAGAAAGAGAGAATGTAACAGCTGTCGGTGGATTTAGTGTAGGAATATCTGGAAGAGTAAAACGCTCGGACTGCTCGATTCCTTGAAAGAGAACGAGTGTCACGTCTGCAGCGCGGGATTGGTTGATCAACTGTTGCTCATCAGTCGCGATTGGTCGGCCATCTGTTGCCCGCCGACCACGATTGGCTAGCGCCAGCAGTACTAATGGTGCGTTCGGGGAGACGCTAATAGCGCTACTTCTGTCATTCTATCTTCGTTGTTTATTAGACGTAAAACAAGGATAGAATGATACAAATAGCGCTAATAGCGTCTCCCTGAACTCACCTTAAGTGACCGAAAGGAAGACCGGATGCACCAGTCGACACAATCAGTGCCAGCGATCTACAGTATATGTGGACTTATGGAGTACTTCATACATGTGAATTTGGCATGTGTGGAATTTCTATACATGTCGAATTACTATCTAACCTAAATTTTTAACAAGTTATTTATTGGATTTTTTATTGGCGATATCTCAATAAACAATGCTGCATGCTCTGATTGATTCTTAACGAAATCTCTTTCCTCTGATTACCATAATTATTTTTTGTTTATTTATTATTACGTATATGTAGGTAATATATTACACATGTATAACTAACACACCCGCACACGCACGCGCGCGCGCGCATATAATGTTACTTATACAGGGTGTTCGGTAAGTTTTGACAAAGCGCTCGTTTGTAAATAAAGCAGACTAAATTATGAATTGAAAAGTCCTCTATCATTTTGCAATTTTCGCAACTTTTTTTAGTTACCCAATGAGCAGAATGTCTAAAATTGACGCATTAAACAACTAAGGTAAGAGTTCTTTAAGAAACATCTTTAAGATATTCCATAAAGAATTCTGAAAGAAATCTTAAAGTTATCTTATGCGCCACTTATTTTCGATAATGTTTGGAAATAAAATATCTCATTGACTATTGCGAAAATTGCAAAATAGTTTTCGACTCACAGTTTAGTCCGTCCTATCTACACACGAGCACTTTGTTAAAATTCATCAGACGTCCTGTATTATATAAACTTATTATTATTGAAATTTAGCTCTAACCAGATTCTTCTGCCCGTTGATCACTCCACATATGTGAAAAATTTACTTTGCCGGCCCTGACCACAATCGCGCGGTTATATGAGAGGTGAACGAGAGATGTTTTTTACGCGATATATCTCGACCGTAACGAAGAATCGGGTTCTCATCGGAGATTGCTCGTCGTCAAATCGATTTGGAAAGCGAAGCAGTTCGATTTGAGATTGCGTTTACGAGCGAGGTTGTTTTTTCGAATCGTTGTCGAGAGGATTCTCTTTTTAGACAATAATAAAGAGATCGACGTCAGTCGTTTCATGCTTTTATTTTGTTGTTTTTTATTCCGTACCGAAAACCAAAAATTTACGAATTCATAAATAATTTGCTCGATTTGGTCGAATGAGAAATACACACACACGCAGACGCATACGCAGTTCGAAAATTTATGTTAATAATACATTTTACATCCACTCAAATTTTTGTGTTAACTTAACACAAGATGAATATGTAAGCAAATTGTGGAAGCATATTTCTTCAGTTAACTACAGTCTACAATTAACATGTATAACTAACATTTATAATTAATGTTAATATGTTAAATTAACACATTTTATTCATTTATCTTAGAATTTACGGTCTAAAATATATAATTTTTATGTTACTCGTTCATTTACTCATAAATTATGTTATTTTAACACTAAGAAATGTTGAAAATCAATTTAGTATGAAATATTTACATAATATAATTACATTATGTTAAATTAATACTCGGATATATGAAAAATTCAACACCAAAATTTTAACAATCGATTTTAACACAAATACAAAATGTATTTTTTTCTGTGTATTGATTTTACGTGCAAATGCAAATTCTAATCTGTGCTATTTAAAAAAAAAGGACATCTCTCTTTAACGCTCATTATTATTATGGAGAAAAAGCTTTATTCGTGCGTTACCTGTGAGCAATATGTACGAGTTTAAGTTCCTCGCGATTATTTAAGAATGATACCGCTTATTGTTGATCTCGGCGGATTAGCTTCGTCCAGGACTGTAATTCGAGAAGCTAAGCCGGGCTTTAATTTAGGGACCGCAGACGTAATCGTGTCTCAATCCCAGATAATGCACCCCTGAGAGATGATAATTAAAGCGATGTTGAAGTCCCAGCGAGCAAAGTCTGTCTGGATTCCGACATCAAAGAGATCCGGTTTACACTCTTGGACTCTGTCCTATCGAAACTCGTTACCAATTTAACAGCCAGCACCAGCCAACTTTTGGCATTTTCCGATAGTTCTACAGTAGTTCCAAAGATTTCTATTGATTTCGCTCAAAGTTCTGGTCTTCAAGTACTTTTTAATAACAACTATTTATAACAAACTAATTTGTTATTGGTGGAATATTAAACATGTAATAATAAGCGTCCAAAACCTCAAGCTACAATTTCTAATGTTCATTTGCATATAAAACAGTGCCAAATGGAAAATATAATAAAAAATAGGTTAAGTGGTAACGTGTGTGAAATTGACACCTCAACTTTGGGCACCGCAAGTTTTGATACGAATTCCATTGGCACCCGCAATAGTTCTATAGTTCCTGATAAGTTTTATAAATAGTTCCGTTGATTTAGCTAAAAAAAAATAATACATGAAAATTTGAAGTGCTAACTTCCCGTGGCACCGCAAAATTCGAAAAATCAATCGAAAACCAAGTAATCTTATAGTTCTCGATGAGTTCTACAGTTCCTGATAAATTTTAACAATAGTTCCGGCCTCTAAGTAATTTTAAATAATAATTAAAACCGCGCGCTGGCACCGCACATCAAGAGTAAAGTATCACTTAACAGCCAGTTCCAGCCAACTTTTTAGCATTTTTCGATAGCCCTGCAATAGTTCCGACGATTTCTATAGATTTCGTTCAGAGTTCTCTGGCATTTAAATATGTTTAAATAATTTTTTAATCTGAGCGCTGGCACCGCACGTCAAGAATAAAGTATAATATATCAGGGTTGAGTAAGTTAATGTTTTTTTTTTTAAACTAAATTAAGTTAAAGTTAATGGTTTATAAAATTAATTAAATTAAGTTAAAAGTTGAAGGAATAAAAAATTAACTTAATAAAAGTTAAGTTAAGATTGAATTAAATTAAGTTTAAAAAAAAGTTAATTTTGAAAAAGTTTTTTGAGATCAGAATGTCCTAATTATTTTTAAAACGAGATAAATTACTTTAATAAATAACTTACAATATAGATTATTAGGTAAATTTAATTTTTTTATTCACATGTAAGTTACTTATACATATGCTGTGTATGATAAGAGTCATACTATAATATAAAGCGTTTTTGTCAAAATCTAGCGAGAGAGAAGGGTATATATTTGCATTACTTCTCTTTTTTTAATCTTTATCTAACTTTCTTTAACTTCCGAAACGACTGCTCACATATGATTACAACTACATCGACTAGATATTTGTTACAAAAAATACTCGTAAAAATTTCGAAAATGGGTGGATGTGCAGCACTGTTTTACAACAATTCTTCACCTCATTTCATATTTATGTTGAAATATAATGTTTATGACACCTAAAATTAGTGTAATTAAAATATAAGCGAGAATTGACAAAACCTAGTGAGCCAATAAAAACTGGCTACGTTCGGTGTGACTCTCATTGTAGAGTCTTTAATCACAAAATCATTGAACTTTTTCTAAATTAATTCTCTAATGTTTAAGATTTTATAGACAAAAATATTAGTATTAAAAGAGATAGAAAATTTTTTAATTTAAAAGAAGTTAATAAATTACAGTTTAAAAGTAATTAAAATAGTAAATTAAAAATTAATACATTTGAAGTTAACTAAGTTAAGTTAAAAGTTATTAACTTTTTAATTTTTTTTTAACTTTTAACGTTTTAACTAGTTACGTAATAAATATTTATCATAAATTTTCTGTACTGTTTGGAATTCAAATAATTAATTTATTATCGTTTATTTTTATCAATTAATAGATTAGCTTTAATAATTTTTTATTTTCTTCTAGCCTAAGAACTAGAAAAAGATAAAGAACATATTAAATCGAGATTAAATTAATCTATATTGGTAGAAATGGATATACGAAGAAGATATAATATATATAATTGGCGCTCGTACTTCTGAGTCTTTGTTTAATAATCGATAGAGTATTTAATTATTAATGCATTCAGCGACGTGATATTTTTTGTTTATTCTCATTTATTGCGAACTTTAAATTATATGCAAAATCTGAGCGCATATAAGTAGCATACGTATAGTGAGAAAGAACGTGAATGAGAAAGTGATGTCTCGCGTTGAAAAATCGCGCAACTTTTATGACATTCAGGATCTAGAAATCTAGACTCTCTCGAGGCCCAGGCACCGTTGATCGATTATAATACTCAGCCTATATTTTTTATCAAGAATCTGTAATCGAGAAGTTCTCTCAATCATAACGGTTCCATCATCTATCACAACCGAAAAAGCAAATATCAATTCCGTCTGCATAAAAATTCATAAAATTCTAACGGTTAGTTCTCTCTTTTTTTCTCTCTCCTTCTCTCTTATTTGGTGCCGATTAACTGTAACCGCGATTCAATTGTCTTTCTTATGCCTGTTTCTACCAATGTCAGGGATGGGTATAGTGCTAAATTAAAAAGGTAAAAGTTAAGAAGTTAAAAAGTTAATTAATTTTAACTTAACTTAGTTAAATTAAAATTAATTAATTTTGGACTCTTAACTTTTTAACTTAATTTAGTTACATTTTATCGGTAACTATTAACTTTTAATTTGATTTTTGTTAAATCAATCCTCAGACACAATGGAGAGGATAATGAGTATATAATTTAGTAATTTTATATTGTATAATCGTTACTTGTGAACAAAAATAACCAGATTCTTTAATAAATATGCTGTGAGAAAGGAAAAATATGAAAAATTATGTAAAATGATGGTCAAACTTTTTCTTTTTCTTTTTTTTTTTTTGGTTGTTCGTTCGGACCATATTTAACTTTTAACTCCTCAATTACTGTTTTTATTAACTGAACTTTTAATTTAATTAATTTCATTATAGATTAACTTGTACTTTAATTAAGTTAAATTTTCAAAGCTGTTAACTTTAACTTAACTTAGTTAAAAAAAAAATTAACTTACCCAACCCTGATTAACCCAATGTAGATTAACTATAATCTCAGTTCAATTTACTCTTCATCCTTTTCAAATTCTTAAAACTAGAAAGAGGAAACGGGCATTAGCCTTCCCGAGATCCGGGATTCGCGCGAACAGAAACAGAAGATAGACAGAAGGATGGGTCGCAAAGTATGAAGTCTCTATCAGATTAGAAGCATAGAGGAATGAAGATTGCGGATTGAATATGAAAATTTGAGTAATTAGATAATTTTAATTTTTAATCCGTTTCGTTCCGATTGATTTTACAATTCTCAATCTCCAATGCATAGTGTGATCCGGGTTTTAAAGGGACGACGAGGTCGATCCACTTTGCGATCTTCTTACGTGCGACATAAGAGGACGGAGAATGGATTCATCGTTGCGGAGAACTTTCTCCCGGACGGGCGCTCCAACACTCGTATACGTGGCTCTTGTGTCTGGCCACGTAACTTTCGAAACGACAGGACAGGTCTCTCGCAGATTGCCAGTGCATTCCTTTCAACGATGCACATGGGATTGATCCTTGTGCCGCGATCTCGAGGACTCTTGCATGTAATCCGTAAAAGTACATTCACGCATCCCGTTAAAATTACGAGGAAGTTGCGTAGATCGACGCGATATCTCGTTATAGAATATGCGCAGCATTATACCTTTATCACACGGAAAGAACGGTTTTGCTAAAAAAATGTTTATCTAAAAAAATGTAACTATTACATAGATATATAATTTATGGAAATGAAAAATATATTTAAATGATTTATGTCATTCATTTTATCAGTCCATTTTTTCACTTATATTATTGTTTAGCTAGAGATCTGAAAATAATTATGCAGCATGATAATAATGCTGTAAGATTTGACAATGTAGCAACTAGCTATTTGAGCGTCCTATTACTTTAATGGTCCAATACTCGATTCAATATATAATTATTTTCACAGATCTGTCTCTATAAATTTCTATGATATTCAGCAAAATCTTTCCGTGAGGCACTTTCACTTCCAGGATAAGCTTAAAGATAAATATTCCAAATTCATATATAATAATATTTATATATGTTTATTTGTCTCCTCCTTCTGTCAATTGATCTCAGATCAGTCTTTCTTGTATCATTTATTTAGTCGGTAAGGACAAACAAATTCTATTTTTCGTTATAAATTATTCGCAGATTTAAGATTCCCATTAACATTTGATTATTAATAATATTCTTATAAAGATGCTTATTAGCATCAAAAATTATTAAATTACTTGTCAATTTAATAAGTTTATAGAACAGAGCCAGAGTAGTAATATTACTACTCTGGCTCTGTTCATGATTGAATTTCAAGACCGAAAAAGATTTTGGAGCGCAGAGTTTACAGAAGATATGTATATAAATTCTCACAGAAGTACATATATAAGCACTGAGATCCGCTTTGACTAAATATAAGAATTCTCTTATTTAATTAGATTTATTCTCGGTCCAAATGCGTTGTTTAACACAAAAGTTCTGTTTACCGTACTGTTGTGACAAAAAATCATTGCCTTTACTATCTCAAATAGACTGTTCTCATGTTTACTACTGAATCTACCATTAAATATGTGCCAAGTTCTCGATTAGTAAACGAAAGTTGTACAAAAAATACCCGTGTTAACGAATCAAATCAATTTTAGGTATTATACGGCAAGTGCGACGACTTGATCCGGCTTCCCGCAAGGACGTTCTCGTGAACAGAGATAGAGAGAAAGAGTGAGAGAGGGGGAGGGGATCGCGGGCTTTCGCAAGGAGGCCGTAGATTCCACAAGGAAACAAGGCCTCTTCCCGGGAAGCGCGCGGCGTCGGATGCCGAGGAAGCCGCTCTCGCGCCGAAGAGGCAAGAAAGAGGGGACGATCGGGAGAGAGCGAGCGAGAGCATTGAGTGGTCGCTGACCCGGCCGGAACGTTGACTCCATGTAGTCAGTCTCCTCCCTCCCTTTCCCCGTCATCCTCCTTTACATTTTCCCCTGAGTTTTGCCGTGTAGCCGTACCTTCGATTACGCGGAGTTACCTTACCTTCCCCGTTCGCTTCGCTACACCTCGCCTCATCTCGTCGCGCATCGCCTATGAGTTTGTCCGACGATAGCGTATCTCATCGTCGCGTTCCCGAGGAATCTCCGATCTCCTTCCCCACCCTTCCTCCACCCCCTTCTGCGGAGTTTCCTCCACGTTAAGTTTTTCCTTCCTCGACTTTTCCGCTGGGTATCAGTAGGTATCTTTAGTATCTTTACTTTCCGTTTTACCTCCCAATGTGCCGATCGCCGTTACTCGGAGCACCGCACCTCGCTGACTTCGCCCATTCATTTTTCCTTGTCCATCGCATTTCCAGTTTCATATCGACGGAGAGAGGGCGCGATTCCCTGCGCCTGGTTGAAAAATGCAAAACTGTTGTTGTCAATTTCGAAGATCCACGCGCGACGTCAACGTCGACAAATATGTTTTGAAATGAGATTTGAATAAAGCATCCTTGACATTTTTATGACATATTTGTTTTTTTATAAGTATATTTCATAATGTATATTTAATGACGCGCGGATATGTTAATACGTATAACTTAACAGTACTGTGTAGAAATACATACATATATATATATATATATAGTTTTGAAGCTATAAGTATAAACAATAAGAATCTTATTTTTAGACCAGAACATGTGAGAACACAATCAATACTAGAAATTAAAATGCCTATAACGGTCGAAGCTAGATCTTTAATGCTTAAATAATTCAATCTTGAATTACTATATATACTGTATATAATTATATATGTACTTGCACATATTATATACCATTTGTAGTCATTCGAACTGCGCGCCGAATTGTTTTTCCGGACTTATAAATGCAATTAAACTACTGTAGTATATCGCGAATTAAATTGACAAGCAATCTTAATAATTTGATACTCAATCAGGCATCATATTATAAAGTAATAAGTATAAAGCACCTCCACAAATTGAAACGTTCTACATTTAATGAAAAATAAAGTAAAAAAGTTTTATTGAAAAATAATAATTTGTTTCTGTAACAGTCTTGATATTTCGTTAGTTATTTCCTTTCATATTTATTATTGTCTTTTCCAAGTAAATGTATAATAATAAATTGAGATTGATTTATACTTAATGTGACCACATATTTTTGGACCTAAAGCGAGATAACTTTATTAAATGGAGAAAAGGGAGAATATTTGGAGAGAGATATAAAGATAGGTATATAAATATAATAATAGCAAATTATTTAAAAAAGATAATGCAACTAACACAAAAATTCATTAATTAACGGGCGATTGAAAGCAATAACACAAACGCAGTAATTTGTCTGTAATAATTAACAAAATCTTACATAAAGATCGAATGTTTCGGCTCCATTTGAGCCATCATCAGCGATGTCCAAAAAAATGAATTCATAAATTAGTCCAGAGAATAATCGCAAAAGATTCAGTCTAAGAGTGCAACCGGAAGAGTCTCTCCCATTCCCATGCTTGAAGAGTGCAACCGTCATTTAGCTGTTCGACTAACAATAAGTGAGCATTAAGGAATAAAATAGTGAATATATAAAATACGGAAAGACAGTTACAACCCACTCAGAATCTTTTCAAAAAACTCAAATTATGACTGCATATTGAAAAAAAGTACAATATCTCGGAAATATAGATCAGAGAACTTAAGACAACTAATTAAGATCGAACTAATTACATAAATGACGGTTAAGGCATGAACATAATACAATTATTTATATTTGAATTATCTCATTCGAAATTATCATTATCTGCTTTAATAAAGAAGTTAAATCCTCTTAAGAAATATATAAAATTTCTGACAACTGTCAAATCAAAATTAATGTTTTAATTAATATTGCTTTTAAAATATTGTACAAACTCAAAGTCGGAGTTTTTCCGCTGTCCACATTTTGTTCGTTATAGAGAAAATTCATTCAACTACGGCATTACTTCATTACTGAAAGCGACAAATACACATTTTATGATTTTACAATTAGACAAAATTTATAAACAATACTAAATAAAAAACTTTTTATGACCATAAATGTGAATATACATGTAAGCAATAAATGCCTTAAACGGTTAAAATTTATAAAATATTTTTCAGCGGCACTTTTTGTTACACGGAGAGAATTTTTTCTTAGAGTTTACCCTGAAAATAGGATAGTCGTGGAACAACATTGTATTTCGAAGAATTTTAATGTAAATCTCTCTCTCATTCATTGATAAAACTACAATAAAGAGTTTAAAATAAGTTTGATTAATTTTACTAAAATGCATGGTAAAAATCTTTAAAATATTGCATTGTACCACAATTACCATATTTTCAGGGTAAATGTTAAAAGAAAATTCTCTCCGTGTACTTTTTATTAATATCAAAATAAATATTTGATATCTTTGGCGGAACAATGAGACAAACACGCCGAAATCGGAACATCTGATCACATTATTTATACTTACCAAGGCTATACAAATACATATATCGTATGTATTAATAACAGAGATCTATATAAGGCGGCAACAGCAAGTTCCAAGTTTCTGATGGACTCTCAATATACGCAGCATTTGCTATCCGCACATTCATAGCTGCTAGAAATCTACGTAAATTCGAGAAAAACGAACGGCCGCAAGGATAATTGCGTTTCGAAGCATCTGTAGTGCGATGTACAAGTACCGTTAGAATTATCGTTCCCGCATCGAGAGTCTGGGATTCGAGTCCTACTTACTAACGGTATCCATTTATTCCAAGCGGAGGGATCCCTCTCCCCCTTCTCAACGGATCGTTTTTAGCGTGGAAGATCCTCCGGTTTATGACTGTTTTTCACGATAGTCGCTTAAGGTTACTGATGGTCGGACGAACAAGAGATGCCGCTTTTTCTCATTGGCGATAACAAGAACGCCGATATTGACTTCTTTCATCGCATTCCTCTGTCATCACGCAGAAGCTGTATGTTAAGTAGCTAATTTAGAAAATTGTAGGAAATTATAACCTATTTATGGGAAAAAAAAAATTTACAAAACGAAGAAAAATCCTCGATATAAAAAGTTCAGGGAATTGATTGTGTATTTTAAAACAATATGAAAATTACAAAAGCCAATAAATTCGCTATACATGTTGACCAATGAAATGATAAATATTGCTCAATCAGTCAAATCAATTCGCTCAATTTCATAATTTTCATCTCATTTTAAGATACACAATCTCCAGTACAAATAAAATTTAATGCATTAAATAGGAATTTATTAAGAGGTAAATTAAGAGAGACCTTTTTCAATATTAAATGTAAAAACTCAACATTTTTCCTAAAATTAAGGTAAACATTCCAATGACCGGATGTACCCTATAAGAGCACAATATTATTTTTAATATGAAATAATATTTTAGGCATATTCTTAGAATATTAAATGTAACATTTTAAGAATATTTTACTAAAATTATATAATATTACATGATATTCTCGAAATATTAATGAAAGGTTATATATCCACTCCTGATAATATTATACGATTATTAAAAGTAACATTTATTTAATGTTACTGTAATATCGTATAAACATTACAAAGTATTATAACAGCATTTACTCTAATTTGTAAAACTGTTACATCTGTTCAGTATAAATATACGTTTAAAAACTAAAAATAATTTTGGCGCGCAGTTGTAGAACTGGATATGTATTTAAAATCACGTTGAAACGTTTTTTTAGCACAGGATGTAGCATAGACTGATAAGAACTTTTCGTTACTGGATTGTGAATTCAAATTGCACAAAATTAAAAATAATTAATATTTATAAGTATTTTAACAATATTTCAAGAATATTAAGATATAATAATATCTATGGATACTTACATAAAATTTGCAGATATACATTTTGAATCACGAACTATCTTTGGCTATGTATTTTAAATTATATAGTTTATGATTCAAAATGTATATCTGTGCATATTCTCTGCTTTAATTAATTAAAACACGAATTTTCTTATATAATTAAGTTGAAATTTTTTTTATATTTAGTTATAATTAATTTATAACTGAATTGATGTTATTAACTGATAAATGACAACATTAAAGAGCATGCGCAGTTGTAAAATGTCATTAAATTATCATTTTCTAACTTACCGACATCAAAAAACTTTAAACTTAAATAATAAAAAAAAACGAGACTTGAGTGACGATTTCCCTTCTCGGAATATATTCTCTACGCATGAAAATACACATTTACAAAATTACAGAAAAACCGAAGGTGGAGGCGTTATATTGCATATTTGACATTTCGGTTTTGATCAAACTTAAGAGAAAATTATTTCGGTAAGTTATTGTAAACTGCAGCTGCGCGTACACATTGCAACGCGCCGGTGAGAATTCGAAAAACTATGTTATCATCGGCTGATTGGCGCTAGTTGCTGCAAACCACACCGGCGCTATCTCTTAATTCTTTCTTTACTACTCGCCAAGTCGCCACATGTCTAATGCCTGAAATTCCTTATAATTTATAAAAAATTTCTTATAATTTAAGGGGATCCCAAAACCGCCTGTATTATCGACTAAATCATATAATTTTTGTATAACACTTTTTCTCTTTTACAGATTCGAAAATCCTTTTCCAGGATTAAAGTATATAAGCATTAATACGTGTTTGTGAGGTGGAGTTTATGCCGAGAACGACAAAAAATTTCAAAATTGATATATTTTTTACCATTTCTTAGTGTAACATGGCGTCTCAAGCTGTCAAGTCGTGACAACATTTGCTTGATACGAAAGTTTTGCAACCTATACTTACGAAATAGTGATCCACAAACACGTAGTTTGCACAAACAAATAACGTCGAGTTCTTAGAATTAGACTTAAGACGCTTTATCGCGACGAATTTGTTATACGAAAATTGACACGAATGTGCGACTAAATGTATCATAGATTGCGTGAGATATTGGTGTGGTAGTATATACAGACATGTCGATGCGCTGGAAAAACAGCAACATCTAGTGATTTTGTCGGAATTCGAGCTTCGCTTTAGATTCCTCTTAAATTCTTCCCGAAACAAAGGATAGTTTTCAGTATATCTGTGTGTGATATTTATATATACATTTAAAAAATTAACAATTAAATTGCAAAGATATGTCTCTATAATATACGTAAAATGTGTCGATAGTTGAAAAATGCTATTTATCAAAATTTTTATAGTGATCAAAATTTTTCGGATCAAAATAGGATATCCTAGGGACGTTTTATATTAGTACATTGATACTTACAAATGTCCTGAGCTAATCATATAGATGATTTAATGTTTTGGATCAGAATAGGATCAATCTGATCAAATTAGGATATCCTAAGGAAATACATTACTATGTAGGAAATTTTGATATGAATTTTTTTTAGAAACGTTCAGTATTTTATTTACTCACTGTTCGGACGTAGCTCAAAGGATAATTGAGTTACTAGTTGCAACCGCTTCCGCGGTAAGA